GACCACAAGGGTTTATTATACACAAATAACAGCGGAACTTTACTTATTTTTGGACTAAAGTGCATCTATATATACTTCAACATAATACATTATCCATGCAACTTACCCACTATATTAGCTCCGCTGTATAAATGATATGCTAAATAATTAAACTTTTTGTTGTTCGAAATTAAAAAGAAAGATACGCTGTAGAAAAAAGAAAAATCTTTGTTCTCAGTTTAGGAAAATAGGTTACTCTTATTCGCTTATATCATATATCCAGATGCTTAAAGCAAGAGTTTTTTATTAAATTTTAAGAAAAAAAAACATATTGAATTTCAAACCCGATTTAAGTCTAGATAACAAGTGATCTTTAGTGAGATTTACTTGAAAAAACTAACTTAAGAGTGCTCCGTTTAGATTTCTTGACTTCCAGATATCATATGCCTAATTTGGTGTCTGTAGGTCTTAGAGCTTATATATAGCTAGCTAAGGCTACATCGATTTAACGACTACGGCTAGTTAAATATTATATTTCATATAAGACGACGTCATCAGAGATAACGTATGTTATTCGATATATGTATATGAACTTATTTAGTTTTATTTTAATTGAAGTAATTGAATTCGTGGACTTCGTGCTAATAATAGTCAAATATATTGATGACTATTGTATGAAATCTACGATAAGATACATTGAGCATTATAAGAAGTCAGTATAGCTTTACCTATCCCAGCGAGCTTTGATTATTACTTGATTAAAGCTAGAAAGACGTTAGCAAATGAGTGCATTAAAAAGTCCTGTTTAGACATTAATCGAGTTTGAAAGATATGTGAGAGTTGATGAACTCGAAACAGAGCTTAGAGGGAAAACTCTTTAATGAGATGCCAAATGTGGCTAATACCGCAGAAATGGGACCCCGTTACCGCCAGGACAATTGATGGCTCATGCACACGCATTCATAAGTAGCCGCCAGGGCTAGGAGCTGGTCACTGGAGAGACGATAATGATAAATACAATATAATGACACGGCAATTGTTGACAACATCAAGTGCTGGACCGGGCAGAAGTCGCCTCAGCTAGCCAGTCAGCCCGTCGACCCGTCAACCCGTCAACCCATCAACCCGGCTGAGCGCCGTGCCCATGAATGAAAGAGGTCCAGAGCAGAACGTCGGACTGTGTTGGGATGCGGCGACTTGTCTGACTGGCTGGCAGCCTCTACCTACAGGGCCGATACTCGAGCGGTACAATGGCAGCTCTCTCTACACACACACACACACACACAAACACACATGTATATAGAGAGGCGGCTCAAGTGGGCACTCGTCGGCTGGCAGTTGTGAGCGGGTGCAAGCGAGATGGCAGGCTTACACACGCCTAGGCTGGCCTTGTTTGGCGCAAGGATGCGCGTTGGACAACAAATGGTGGTGGTTGTTGCTGTTGCTTTTGCTGGTGGTTGAATGAGCCACTCACATAGTTGCTGCTGCTGCTGCTGCTGCTGCCGACGTAGTATCCTTGTTGAAAAGGACATGAGAAGCCACTTAGTGAAAATGCGACGAACGCGCCGCGGCTAAACAAGAGCCAGAGAGACTCTCTATGGCTGTGTGCATATGTGTGTGTGTGTGTGAGGTTATATACCCAATGGTGGATGGATGCACCATATACAACACTTACATCCATGTATGTGTGTGTGTGCGAGTATGCCTGTGTGCAGAGTAGTTTTTGGTACTTTTGCGCCGTTGGCTGCTTGGACTCGTGTCGAGTTCTTGATGTCTCGTTAGTTGTTGATGACACTTCAGTTTGGAATGTTTAGAGTGCGGCTGACAACGCAACCCGAGCACGAGTCGACAACGAGATTGAAATCAAGAACTGAAGCTAGATCTGTGGCCAAAATCCAAATCAAAACTTTTAACGTAATCGCTGTCGCGCTATTGAATCGCATCGCAACCGCGCCAAGTGAATTGCATTCCAAATTATTATGATAACAGGCAGCACAGTCAAAGCTCTTGTCAAGTGTTAGATAGTGTTGCACTGCAGCAGAGAGTGTTGTACAATACGATCCTTTTGGATTTGTGTTTGTTATTGTTGTTTATTTTTTTGCACGTGTGACACTTGTGATTTGAACGGCTGCAAAGTGGCGGAGAAACGCAAAGGTACGCCGTCGCCAACGCCGCCGCCCGCGCAGCAGCGGCGAAAATCGGGCAACGCGACGCCACCGGCAACACATCCGATAACCATACCAGCGCCCCAAACGACGCCCACAACGGCCACGGACATGACCACCACGCACAGCCAGCCGGCGTTGGAGCGCACGCCGTCCAAGCACAAGGAGCGCGAGCGGGTACGGGAGCGGGAGCGTGAGCGGACAGAGACAACCAACAGCAGCGGCAATAGCAGCGGCCTGGGCAGTGCCGGCAGCTTGCCCGCCTCGCCGCAGAGTGCGGCCACAGTTAGTCCTGGGACGCCCACAACGCCCAAGCGACCGCTGCGCACATCGACGCCCTCGGTGGAGCAGCGGGCATCCAAAATCATAAGCACCGCCAGCACCACGGTGCCAACAACAACGCCAACGAGTGGCGCCAACTTGGCGGCCGCCGAGCAGCTGCGCATCCCAACGGGCGCGGCGGCATTCAGCGGATTTCCCGGGCTGCACAGCATGAGCAGTCTAATGGTGCCCTCGTCGGCGGCGGTCGCGGCCGCTGCGGCTGCACCTTTCCTGCCCTGGTCGCCCATACTGCTGCCCCCTTGGAGCCATGCCCTGCTGCCCGCCGCCTTTTATCCGGCGGCTCTGCGCAACGCTTTGCCCGGGTAAGAAAAATTGATCAAAACCCGCTAACCGCAATTCCCGATCCCCGGATTAGATATCTCGCCCTTTTTCTCTCTCCCTCTGTCTTTCTACCTCTTTCACACGCAATGCTCACCTCGCACTTGTACAAATTTCCTGATGGTCGTTGTTGCGATTAGCAAAAATGGTGGCTACTTTAGGGATTTTCACACGCTGAAAATTCTTCTAGTGTCTTTTTTTCTAGGTTTCTTTGCTAGCCGTAAAATAATATATGGATAGTACCAATTTTAAAGCTAGCACCAAAGGCAACCTCCTTTTTTCCTGAGAACATTTTGAGAGAAACTGAAGGCTCTTATCAAATATTTTTCTTAGCAACTTGGAGCATAAAACATCAATCAGTCCATTGAATTCTATATATTTATATAATGCATATATGTATTAAGACAACTGAAAACAAAGGCTCGAGCTCGGATCTCGGACTGTTGTAAGAGGTTGTAAAGTTGCAAGCCAGGCTGCGAACCAGTCATAGACTGAACCAGTTCGAGCCAGGAATGCCAATGTATGCTTTACGATGAACCAAACCTTAAACCAAAACACAGCCGAACCGAAACTAAAAGAAGGAAGTTGGTGCAAACCGAACCTGTGGTAATTTATTTCGCTCTGAGCTATGAGCAGTAGATAAATCAGCTTACAACTATACGTAATTATGACGACAACAATATCTATACTTGATTATATACTAATTAAATTGGTTACGTATTCGGGATTTATGCAATACATTAATTCCTGTTAAAATTAGAATAGATCAGCGGTAAAAACAAGCCTCGAATATTTGTAATTAAGATCAACAGCATCTCATCTGTCATATTTCGCTCAACTTTGCTAATAGAATAATTGCAAATGCTGGGACAATTAAAAGCATCCGTTAAGCCTTGCAATTTAAGGGTACAGTTTTTTAGGGCACTTGCCGCACCCTCTTCGCTGTCGTGGCCCGTGTCAGTGTTATTTTAGGCCCCGTTCAGCTAATGAACTTTGCCTTCTAAGCCAGCCGACTGTAACGAGCTATGCCACTGAGCCGGCAATCCAATCAAGCCACTTACTCCCTAAACATTATCCATCTACTTGTTTCGGGCACTTGCCCCGCGCAGAGCCTGCCGAAGCAAATTACCCAAATCCTGCAGCAGCCCTAAGATGTGACGGTGACCACACGTAATTCCCCCAGACCAGATCCGCAGATTTGCTGGGCTGGTGCATGCTCAAATGTGCTCAAGGTCCTGTATTTGTGTGCGGCACTCTTGTCCGGCATTGATTGGCGATCGCAGCTCAAGTGGCAAAAGACGCAAATGACGTCGATCTGTTTGGCCTGGCTGGCTTAGAAATTCCCATAGGTGAGTTGCAGGGAAACCCCAACCTGGCAACATGTGTGCAGCAGACGACAGCAACAGCAACGGCAACAGTAACAGCAGCGGCGACGAGGACGGCGTCACACTGTCTGCTCGAAGGCCGGGACGAGTGCAAAGGGAATTCCGCTCAGACATGCGGGGAATGCCCGCGTCCTGGATGGACCTGAGCGCGTGGGAATTTCGCGCGCACAATTTGGGAAAACTCAGCGTGGAAAAACCGGAAGCGAGAGCGCTTTTTACTTGCGCCAACATGTGGCCGAAAAATGGTTATGCCCGACCAAAGAGACCCGCGCCCGATCGTCCGATCGCCCAGGTAGTGCATCGGTGCACCAAAAGCGGATTTGAGTTTAATTGTTGATGGTATTAGTGGAAAATCAAATTTGCATTAGCCCTAGCTTAGCCTAAAACTAAAACTAAAACTGAAACCGAAACCGAAACCGAAACTGAACTGAAACTGGGTCTGCAACTGTGACTGGGGTTTTGGTTTTGCAACTGGGACTAGGTGTCAATAATCCAGCGATTTGGCTGGCACTTAATCAAAGTTAATTCCGAGCAAGTGTGAAAAATCTGGGCCCGACTCGCAGCTCGGTGCAATTTTTGGTAAAGTCAGTGCGTCAGGTACTTGCTGCTTGGCCAGGTAGAAATTTAGACCTGAAACTGCAGTGTGCGTCCATTGTGTTGCTTTCCGGCCATTTCATTCATGACACGACACCGGATGTCGGATGTAGGACCTAGAACGATATGCAGCAAGTGTGTGTGTATGTGTGTTTGCGTGTGTGTGTGCTGGAAGTGGTGAATCGACAATTAAAACTGTGCTCTTGTCTACTTGCAGCCTCTTTGATGCCAAGGTGCCGTCCTCGCAGCGTTCCGGCTTTCATATATCCGACATACTCAATTTGGATGGCTCCGAGCTGAAGAGCGCTGCAGCAGCAGCGGCAGCGGCGGCGCATCATACGCACAGCCATAGCGCGGAACTGGGCGCGGAGTCCAGCAATGGTCATGGTCATCCGCCAGCGCCATCAACACTGTCGCCGACGCCCAGCTCAGCACTGCCACCGCCGCCGCCGCCCAGCGGTGGGGATGAGCATGTGGCACCCGCAGCGCATGGTGATCATGCAACCACGGAGCACAGTGCGCAGTCGGCGCACCATCAGCAGCAGCAACACCTCCACCTTCACCAGCACCAGCAGCAACAACACCATCATCCCCACCTGCACCATCAGCCGCATCAGCCCGTTGCCCCGCTGCACTTGCCCCATCATCAGAGCGCTGGCGGCGCTCAGCCGCCCATGCCCCATATGGGCGCCCATGCCCATGCCGCTTCAGCGCAGGCCGCTGCCCATCTGCTGGCCAGTCACAATGCAGCGGCCGCCGCGGCTGTTGCCGCCGGCCAATATCTGCCGAAGAACTTTGCCGGCAACTTCGGTGACGAAATGTCCTCATACCATCACATGGCCCAGACAATGCTCTCCCACTCGGGTCGCAGTGCGTGGATCAAGGAGAACGAAATATATGGTAAGTGTGCAGTAACAAATCGGTGTTATTTCCCATAAGCCCTAAAGGCTTGGATAAGCCAAAGATTCTTTAGATTGAAACAAAATATAGCTGCCAAGAAATTAAAAGAATCCTTTAGTCAAATAGTTGAGAATCTGTCTGATATCTAATCATTTTTATACTGATTCGATTTTTCGTTTATAATTTTTAAACGTTTCCCAATATAGGAATTCTAGTATCTTTCTGTATTTGGTAATCTATTCCAAACGTTGAGTTTCCCTTGAAAATATGGCTATTAAATATTTTTAGTTATATCTCAAAGCTTCAGCAACTTAATTTTGTGCAAGTAAAACGTTTCTCGTAAAGTCAAGCTGCAGATACTGGAATTACTTAAGCTGGGGAATCGGGAACCGGGAACAAGCAGGGGTATGGAATTTTGAGAGCGAACGCCTAATAATATTGTTCAATAATTGCCTCACAAAAGGCAGCTGTGTTTGCATATCTACGGGCGACGTCAGTCAGTGGGAACCACTCGCCGAGGGCTCGATGAGGGCTAACCCTTGGCTGTGGCCATATGCCACGCCCCGCCCGGCAGTCGCTATGTATTGTGGTGTAGTGTAGTGTTAGATGCGATATGTGTCGATTCAGGTGCTTGAAACGCGAAGTGCCCGCGGTCGGAACCACCCCTTTGGGCGCTTACGAGTACATACCCTAGAAACTGTGGCCCAACATAATCTTGACTAATAGTTTGTATGCGCTTCACACTTGAGGATTAATTTTGTTATTTTTTTTTTTTTTTTTTCGCTTTTTGTTTTTTCTTTTCCGTTTTTTTATTTGGTACCATGTCGCTGTCGTAGTCCCCCCCCTTATTGTTGTCGCGGACACAACATTGTTCAGTCATTCCTTTCATATAAGCCTGGAAATTTATGGCACGCACTTCCGCTTCGTCCTTTTTTCGCTTTTGCACAACCTTTCCTTGTTTTATTATTCCAATTTTTTTTCTTTTTGTCTTTTTGTTGATATGGTGCTCAGCTACAAATTATAATTGTTGCCTGATTGCAGTTTTTTTTGTTTTTTTTTTGGGAAATTTCACAGCTGTAAGTCGAGTCGTTTTGATTATATTAAGTTATTAATTTGTTGAGTTGTCATGGTGAAGACGATTCTAGTGCAGGACTGAAACTGGACTGGGGCTGGCTTAGATGGGTCTGGACTGGGACATGGACTGCGTCAATGTTCTGTTTAGTCAATTGTGAAGGAATGTCTATTATTAAAGCCAGCCTTGCATGCATGTAATAAATGTACTATGCGATATTCTACATAGATCACACCCAAGTATAAAAAAAAAGAAGAGAGGAAAAACATATCAAACAGCTTGAACGCCCATGTGTGATAAATCAAAGTAACTATATCCCTATAGAAAAAAAAAAAAAGTGGGCGTATGCAGCATTGGCAAACCGACCGAAAGTCGGGTAAAACGGCAAAACGGAAGAAAGGGAGCCGGATGCAGGCAGAGGGACACAGAAGTCAGGGGCAGGGCGGCCATTAGAAGGCAGCTCTGTTTGAGGTTTGGCTTTTGTGTCGCATCCCATTGTCTCCCAGTTGGTTGCCCAGTTTCAAACCTTAATGTATTTTCATTAGCATTTGGTTGTGTATTCTCTCTCAAAACGGCAAACAATGACAGCAGCAAAAAAAGATCGCACACACACACACACACGCACGCAAACACACGCTACACGCTACACGCTACACGCTAAAGGCAACACCTCGAAGGTCAGAAGGCAGCCGAGCAATTGCCCAAAAGGTGTAACTCGGCAGGGTTGCCCCGCAGGGCAGGGAACACAATCGCAGCCAGGTAGCACCCGACGATCGATCGAACCTTGTCAATGGCCCGGTCCTCTAATTGACGTTATTAGTTGGGCTCGCTGCGGTGTGGCTCGAGGAGGGTAGCTCGCATCTGGCCACCACGATCTCTTCCCCGCGCCGCCTAGCTGCAGAACATAATCCAATTGTACGAGTCGTTGGCGGTTCTATCTGTTTACTCACTGACTATTCATTTAGCACCGCTGCCAATTTCTGCCTGCTCATGCTGATTGGGGTATGTCTGCCCCTGTGTGCTTGGCTGTGTGTGAGTGCATTAATTTTCCAAATTGTTGACAAATTGACTCTCTAACTACACTGAGCAATAAAAGTGTGCGAAGATCGCAACGAGCGAAATCTTGAACTTTTTATGAAACATCGAATGTAGTTTAGGAAATTTCACCTTTTACCTTTTAACATTAATAAGTATCATTTTTTTTATTCTCTATATATATATTCTCTATTCTGATCGTGAACAATCGGTATAAAATAATTGTTAGGGGTTTTTAGTAGCTATTAATAAACTGTAGTAAACTGCACTCAATTGGTTGCCTTTATTTCGCTCAGTGTATGCCAAGCCGTTAGTAACCCCTCTCTCGCTCTCTGCTTTTCTCTCTCTGCAGGCACTCAGCAGCCGGCCAGTCCGGACAGCACCTCACCCGTCACGTCGGAGGTCTCCTACACTTATATAGGCTCCAATTGCCAAACGTCGCCGGCTCTCTCCGGCGACTACAAGAGCTACAGCCGTTCGGCGGACAGCGATGCGCTCTCCGTGGGCGATGCGCTGCACACGTTGCATGGTGGCGGTGCAGCCGGCGGCAGCTCTGCGGCGCATGCGTTGCATAACAACAACAACAACAATAATAACAACAATAATAATAATAATAACAACAATAACAATAGCCTGAAGCATGACGCAGGCGCCGGCAGCGGCAGCGCCCATGACGACAGCCTGAACGAGGATGGCATCGAAGAGGACATCGATGATGTGGACGATGCGGACGGCAGCGGCGGCGGCGGCGTCAACGCCGACGGCATGCCCAACAAGAAGCGCAAACGGCGCGTTCTCTTCACTAAGGCGCAAACGTACGAGCTGGAGAGGCGTTTCCGGCAGCAGCGGTATCTAAGCGCGCCGGAGCGCGAGCACCTGGCCAGTTTGATAAGGCTGACGCCGACGCAGGTGAAGATCTGGTTCCAGAATCATCGCTACAAGACCAAGCGGGCCCAGAACGAGAAGGGCTATGAGCATCCGGGCCTGATGCACGGGCATGCCACACATCCACATCATCCGTCTGCGCTGCCGTCGCCACGGCGCGTCGCAGTGCCCGTGCTGGTGCGCAATGGCAAGCCGTGTCTGGGTGATGGCTCCAAGCTGACGCAGGATTGTGTGAGCACTGCCACCGCGATGCAAAATGCCGCCGCACATCATCTGGTGGCGCTGAACGGTGCCGCCGCCTATCAGCATGCAGCGGCTGCCGCAGCGGCTGGTCTCCACGCCCATGCCCATGCCCACGCCCATCCGCATGCGCAGCGCGCCGCCTGGTGGCCCTAATATTGTTAGCTGCCTAGATTCGAGTTGGTCGAGCTGGGTGGGAGCGGCCAAATGACTGGTAACTCGAATACTGGACAATAAACTCGCTGCCAAAGTCGCAGCTGTGTGACTCTGCCACAATTTGTGGCACATTTCGGTTGGGAATTCGAACAAACAAACAAAATTGGTGCAATAATATATAACAATGGGTCGACAACAAGCAATTGACGCACTCTCCTCTACTCCAACTCCACGTCTCCCTTCTCAAAAAATACAATTTAGAAAAAGCAAAAAAGCAAAAAAACAAGCGGAAGGCGTCAGCTGCCACAAGCTTGTGGCGAGGCCAAGCCGGGAGCAGCAAGTGGTCAACTTGAAGAATTCTTCGCCAAGCAAAAGTTGTTGTTGCATGTTGCATGTGCAACAATGTCAACAACATACATATATCATTCGTGTAATAAATCGCTATAAATACAAATACATTTTTTTTTCCTGCAGCTCTAAAGCTGCGGGCCATTTAGCCGTAAGATTTTTTTTTTACAATTTTTTTTTTAACAAAAGTCGTTAATACTTATAAAATGCTAGATATAGTGACAAGTTTTTTTTTCGCTTAGCCCTAAATAAATTAAATCATTATTTTATTCAAATATAAAATATACAAAAATTAATAAATTCGTTTTGTACATACTGGAAAGAAGGAAATCAAATCATGAAAATGACAAGAAAATTATATATATTTCAAATATCAATGCAGATAATACAGCAAATAATCATGTACATATTTTTTAACAATAAAAAACTAGTGTCCAATTTGTAGGCATATTTACATTTGTTTATACACAATACATACATATATATAATACATACATGCGAAGTCGTAACTGTTAATGTAAAAATTATAATTATGAAATCCCAAAATAATCAACTCTTCTTTTTTTTTGTATAGTGCATAAATAAATAAAAACAAACTCTTTGAATTTATAGCGCGTAATGAGTTCATAAATGTTAACACACACACACACACAAAATAATCCTTAACAAATGTATTTGTAATATAAGGAAAAAATAAAAAATTCAAAACAATATTAATAGAATGCATTAAAAAAATTTAATAATTGATTATGTTTCCAGATGTTCCTGAATGTGATAGATTTCTTCTCAATTCGGTCAACTAATTTGTAACGTTTTGAAGAAAACAATATTCGAAACCGCAAAATCAGCAATATTTTCTGCACTTTTGAAAAAAGGATGGTTCGGTTTGGGTTGTAGCTCGTCTGTTCTTGGGGCAACTGGCATCAATTATATGTATGTATATCGTTAATCCGAAAAAGGAGGTCAGTCTCTATAACATGTTGAAATTTGAAGACGCATAGCTATAGCACTTTATAAACTTCCTGTTACGCTACATATAAAGAATGTATATTTTATAGCTTCAATGAACTAACTAACCAAACCCAACTAACCGATACAGTACAAGCCAACTCCCTGCCTGAAGGTTTCCTTCGTTAACCCGATTTTACCCATCCCAATCCTTAGTCCAAGCTTTGCTTTATCATATATTTTGAAAAGTTTCGTTAAACAATTCAATTTTGAATTTATAGCTGCCCGTTCGACTGAAAATATTCCAATGCCATGGATATTTTCATATAGAAGTTTCGGGCTAAATTTGATATCTACCCCAAATTGGCATCTGCCAAATATGGTCAGATTAATCCAATGCTTGGGACTCAAGTTAGGTATGCTCTGGAGCTGAGTCTCCCTCAAAAGTTAAGTTTAATTTTAAGGTATATTTTTGAAAAAAGGATGGTTTGGTTTGGGTTGCAGCTCGCCTGTTCTTGGGGCAACTGGCATCAATTCTAAATAAAATATATTTATAAATTTCCCAAGTCGATCCGATAGCGTATCGGATAGCAAGCCCGGATTGCAGCCCTGCTTTGCAGAACTATTTCTACCAGTCATTTTTCAAAATAAAACATAGTTCGAACAGGTATATTGATCAGGTATTTTCTGAATCGAGATATATATATTTAAGAAGTTAAATATGTTGGGTTAAGAATATATGCACAGATATTTATATTTATTTATCAGGTTATATTTAGGCATGATCAGCTTAGTCTCTCATTTTACATTATTCAACTTATTTAAGACCACATTAGTTAAGATCACATAAGTATATTGTTACACTGAATAATGCACTATAGGTGGATAGAACTGCAGGGGCATAGAGGCGTCGACAAGCTGCAGATAGTGGTTCAAATAGTTGAGGCTCCACACGAGGTGTCAGGTGCGAGCACCTGGTGGAAACATTAAGCAGCTCATAAATACAACTTGATTATGGCTTTTAGCTACCGTTTAGGTCTGCAGCCCGGCGATTGGGATCGTAATCCATTAATGATTATACGAATTGTACTACCAGCACTCATAATACCCGCCCGAACGGTCAGGGGACGCTTGGACTTTGGAAATGCTGCCTCGCGATAAGCCCGCCCCGGCCCCGGCCCCGTGCCCAGACGATGCATTCAATACGAATGGGGCACAGTATGGCACTATAATTGCCCGGTTGCTACATATTGACTTTATGGTATGACCATCAATAGCTAATTTAGTGGGAGGCCGTAATATGCAGCAAGTCACAAAGGCAGCTAAACTACATGGCAGGTAAGTGTGGTATAATGAGCTTGTAGTGGGGCATGTCAGCGTCGAATGGCCAGATTATTGTGAACAAGTAGCATACATAATATACATTGTAAATACAACGAAATCAAGACGCATCAATAGAGACAATCAGCAATCATGGGACACGGCCAGAGGCCCTCTTAACTCTCTACTCCATGTGAGGGCACATAATTTGCGCAAATAAAGAACTCGAACTCAAGTAGATGTTTTGGAGTATCTCATAAAATAAACAAGTGCTATTCGAATAAACTACAAATTAAATTACTCATCAATGAGCACTGAAAACACTCAAGAGCCACGAAACGATACATTGAATACACACGCTCCTCTACATACAAACGTATGAATGTCACTGTTAGCTTCTGAGTTTTTCATTTGTCATCTGAATACAAGTGGCCACATTGCATGCGAGTGCAGTCGACTGCGCAATACTCTGTCCCGAGTTTCGCATTTATTCAAAACGAGTCTTGTCGGCGACTCTTAAACTGAAAGCCATAGGCAGAGACTTTTCAACTGTGGCTATGGGAAGTATCTGCAATAAGTCGACTACCCGGTTGGTTATTTAAATTTCCTCCAAATAACAATTTTGTGGCTTGTCGTTGTTAATATGCTTAGGGAAAGGGTATACACAGCTTAACAATAACCATTGCGAGTATTAATAAACATCGAGTGCCTGGTCATATATTTTGCGCAGAAACAAAAACAACAACAATAGCAACATTTTTACACAGGCCATAAACTCGGCGATTACTGAAGTACCATAAATATTATATACTATTTTTATGATTTCTTTATTCATTCTTTTTTATTTAGATTTATCTAACGCCGGTCAGTTCCAGCCGACTAAATTTATAAATCATTAGAATTTTGAATAAATATCAAAATAAAACACAATTATCACAGTTTAATATAAAGACTAATTACATTTGCATAGTCTTCTTTTATTTCATGTTGTTTATTTTCTTTATGCTGTGATAAATACTTAATCATCATAATATCCAGTTATGTCGAAAGATTACATTACACAGTCCATATTACAATAATCTAGAGTATCTATATAAGTTCGGGTTAGCTTATATATTTATAAGTTCAGTTCCGAGTGGCCCCATAAAAATACCACCTCAAGTAATTGGCTTATAAATTTGGGTTGTTCAAAATCGTAAATTCCACCCCCCGTTCCCGGGCCATTAAGTTTATTTGCATAAAGTTTTGGCTATCGCACAGGATGTTGATAATACGCGCCACTCAGTACCAAAGATCTAGATTAGACGTAATAGCTGCTCAAGACTGATATTGCCCGGGCAGCGGCTGTTGAAGTTAACACAATAATAAACTTTTTGTTATTATTAATAATATTATTTTTTATTGTTGTTGTTGCCCGCTTTACTTTCAGATAAGCCGTGTTCGAAGAGCTCCCGCAAGGTGCAAACTGGTCGCCAATCGGCGTCAACCTGATTGCCACTATTTCTGTATGTGTGCGTGCGTGTGTGTGTGTGTGTGTGTGTGTGTGTCCGGCCGTATCAGCGACATGTCTTGCACGACCGGACAACTTGGCCAGCGATCGCGTCACACACATCGATACATGCGTGGACGTCATGTCGAGTACAAACGTGCGAGCTTATCAATTCGAGAACGCCAGCAGCGATGGGGTAAGCGCTTGATGGATGCGGTGCCAGGCTGTAGATAGAGCTGACCCACAATCTGTATTTAAATTGTGTACACAGCCAAGATATTGCGTGCACTAAATAGTTATAAATTTAATAATCTTTCTGAATGTACCTGAAAGTCATTGTTTACTTCGACAATCACTTCACTAGACTCATTCATCTATCTAAATATACTTTAATTTAAATTGTTTTATATCGAAGAATTAAAAAAAAAAATCACAGTTGGGCCGGCAAACGACTCTCATATTTAAATGCCATTTATAAATATTGGAATAATAATTATCAATATTTGTTTAGATCCAGAGAAACTTATGATCTTTAGATATATAAATCATTAGCTGAGGCATATAAAGAAATATAAAAATCTAGCAATATTATCCTTTTTTTCGATTTGCCCCCATATAAATATATACCTAGCAGAATTCTGGTTTTGTCTGAATGCACATGCACGGCAGACTTGAAAATTAAAAAATATATTCCCGCATATGTTTTGCACAATCTTTAAGAGGAAATGCGAATGCCTGATACGATTCGGAGACTCTCAACTAGAGCACAATTACGTGCTTCATTTGTATACCCTGAACCCATTAAAAATGGCTGAAAAGGGTATTATGTATTTGTGCAAATGTATGTAACAGGCAGAAGGAAGCATCTCCGACCCCATAAAGTATATATATTCTTGATCAGCATCAACAGCCAAGTCGATCTAGCCATGTCCGTCTGTCTGTCCGTCTATCCGTCCGTCCGTCTGTCTGTCCGTCCGTCTGTCCATATATATGAACGCAAGGATCTTAAAAGCAAGAGCTAGAGACTTGACTTTAGCTGTAGGTCCTCCTAGTACCCGCGCTGATCGAGTTTGTTTCCGATATTCGTGACTTGCCCCGTTTCCAAGTAATCGATAAGAATCGATATCGAAATCCTGTTTATTGAGCAATTTTGGCCAAACTTGACATGTAGCTTCTAGAATAGTATATACATATATATATCAAGTATCTTTCATTTTATACCTATCGCCTGTTGGAAGAAGAGAGTTCAGGGTATCCCCTAGTCGGCAGCTCCCGACTAGAACCTCTTGTTTATATTATACAATTTATCTCTATTCGGTTTTAATTTATTTTCACCTGTCTGTCAATGCCCATTGTGGGTTCATTGTCACTTAAATCTTGAGAATTCAATGATATTGTTATTCTTCTCTTTGTACTCATTTGTTATTGATATTCAACTTGATCCATGCGGCACTCTTGCCATTGTTCCATATCGCTTGCCACGTATTTACAATTTTATTCAGAAGTTACATTTTCTGCATTATACCAAGTCTCTTTAATGCAATGAAAACTCTCTTGAAAGGACAGCGAAGGGTGTCCGCCTAATAGGAGCGTCCATTGTCGAGAGTTTTCACGTTAGTTATAATTAAATTAGTATGCATATATTTCGCTCAATTCTATTTATTTTGTTGTATCCTGAAATGTGTTTTCTTTTTCATATTTTAGCACACACGGCAGCATGGCCTGGCCTCATCTCAAGTTGGCAAATACTTGGCAGATACTTCTAATTGGGTAATGAGAACAAGGTAAGGTTAGCGAATGGACAACAACAACAAGAGCAGCACTTCAAGCCACGCTGAGCAGCCCGAAGCACTTGCCAACAAGTCCCAAGAACAAGGAGTACGTAGAATGCCATGTGAGTCGAACGCCACTTACAACGCTTAATCAGCTCCGATTTCTGTCGATATAATGAATGTTGTTGTTCTTTATTTTTATTTTTATTTGATTTTATTTTTTGTTTTTTTTTTTGTATTTGTTGCTGTTGTTGTTCAAATTTGGCATTGATAAGGCTGGCAGACAGTGCCAGACAACGACAACGACAACGACATTGATTCGAATGTGGGCAGTTTGTAATGAAAAATTGATTAACGCAAAATAATATATATATGTATGTATATATACATATACATATATATATATGTATGTATGCATACATGGCGAGCTGATCGAATAAATAAATTTATCACAAAATAAACGTAAATCAATGAACAGAAATGTAGAAATTAAACAGGCCAAGTAAAGACCGTTAAGCAAATAAATGAGATTACAATTAATATAAAATAATCGATAAGTGCACGAGCTCTGCCCAGTTGCTGGCTATACTCTATACCCTTTATTTTGATTGTAGGCCAAAGTTAATTGCGTTTTTGATTTAACAACGTACAGCGCGAATCAGCCGGCACTTGAGCTGGCGCTCCCCGGGTGCTCCAAGTCCATGTCCAATATACCTCGTATGGCCCGTATAGCCCCCATATCTGGCATGGCCGTTGCGTGTGAAACTGAAATGACATTTAATTGGCGTACGCAGTGAGCTGGCACTTGTTCCAAGTGGGCGTCAACAAATTCGTTGTGTGATTTTTCAATTGAACATTTTCGCTGATTTCGCTTCCATTAGGGGGCTGGCCGTTAGATAAGCCCCGAGGCAGTCGCCTTCCATTGGTCTAAGCTTTTCGGACTGCTCAATTCAATGAGAATATATATAACACAATAATCGAACAGCAATTCCCGCATCCTTCTGTTTGATTGATAGAAACTATCGGATTATGCTAATACTTCTCAGCGAATACTAAGGCAACTCGAACGAATTAGATCTATTAAATCTAAAATCAATATTGATCTTAATGAGAAAACATCATAGCTAGAGCTAAAGAGTCCATTATTTTACCATTTGTGATATATATGGTATTTATGGTATTTGTTCAAGCACATTTTTCCTAATTTTTCTAAATATCTTAACAATTTATAGATATTTTGTGTTGAAACAATACAAATAAAATATCTAAACAATTTATAAATATGTATTTTTTGTTGATATAATACAATTTTTAATAGTGAGCGAGTATAAAAGTTTTCTTTAAATGAGGCAAATTTAATTTTGCAGTTTTTTTATTAAACACTTACTTTTTTAACATTTCTTTAAGCCCAATTGAAATTACATTAATGACCAGTTCAAAAAACTGATCAATGACTGTCTGATATCCACCCAAATCCGCATCTTGTAGCAAATTACCAAACTTGATATCCACCTGAACCTTTAATTTGTCTAAAATATCTATTGAGGGTGTTCTGAAATTGTTGTTTCGGAACGACCTTAAAAAGTATTTTACAAATCAGATAAAATACATTTTCCAGCATGCTTCTTGGGTTAGCTATTCCGACAGACCCATAGAACAAATTTGCTAGGGAAGCTTATGCAGCGTTTTTTTATTCCATATCTACAGATGGCTTACTTTATCTCTTAACGTAGCTCAAAAACGATTGTTTCAAAGCGCCCTTAAAAAGTATTTAACAAATCTGATAAATTTTGTGATTGGGATATATACGCCAATAAATTTACAAATATACCTAAACGTGGGCGCAAATCTCTTACAAAATGATTGCTTGGGCTAGTTCTTCTAGCAGGGTCATATGACATATTAGCCTGGGGAGCCTATGCAGGGTTTTTTCAATTAGTTGGGCATGGTTCGGTCTCGGCTTGACCGTTGTCCGCAAATAAAATGCAATTTTAATGACAAAACTCTCACACATTGTGGCATGCGGCATGTGGCATGGCTACAAAGTCGCAAAGTCGCAATTCTAATTAGCCAATGTGCTGCAATAAAGCGCCGGAAAACATCGCCCTGGGGCGTCGAGGTGTGCTGGGAAACTGCGAAATGGCCGCGGCGTGGGTTCGGATCGGATCGGCTCGGCTGGGCCTTACTATGGGCTCAGTTGGGCGTGGGTGTTTTGGGGGTTGGGTGCTAGCAAATCAAATCAAATTAAATCAAAGTTGATGGCGCATTTTACAGTTGTTAGTGGTTGGGGATTAGCGAAAGGGGCTGGCGATTGGAAAATTTAATAACGCCTTGCGAGGTTGTTGTCCTTGTTGTTGTTGTTGTTGTTGTTGATGTTGTTGCCAGCGGTTGTTTGTTGTTCATTTCGCGGCCATCGTCATTATCTGCATGTAATTTCTCATTTTCATAGTCAATTAAGTCAATCACACGCCCTTTTAGCCACCGCAGCGTCGTCGTCGCCTCCGTCGCCGCCGTCGCCGCCGTCGCTGTCGCCGTTGCCTTTCCCGGCGGCTAGAAAGCCACCCTGCAAATTAACACGTCGTCGCCGCCGTCGTGGGTTGTTGGTTTGTTGGATTGGTGGGTTGATGATAGGCTGCGTTGGTGGGTTGACGGGCTGGCGGACGGTCTGGTGGGCTGGTGGTGTGTGTGTTCCGTTTCCGTTGCCACTGCCAGCGGCCTTTTGTTTATTTGTAACGCAATGCAGCGCGGCGCAGCGCGTTTATTGCTCAATTTTCATCGATGTTGCCAAAATTACATATTCATAGCTTGCCCGCTTGGCCGCTTGCTGGCTCAGGAAATCCACCACCACGGCCACCACCAGCATTACGATTACCATTACCACAACAGCCCACACGTCGCATCAGGCCGTTGGCCAGGACCAGCTCAATAACTGTAACAATTTCAAGCACTAAAAGGACACGTGGCAGCTGCTTTTAAAATTGAATTTCCTGCATGTAATCTTGTCGAGTCAATTGTTTCTGCGTGGGCAAAGTGCTGGCTGGGGGCGAGCCACCCACCCTCTGTGCATGTTGTTCGCGCTGTTGTTTTTCGGGTGAGCCGTACACGTGCAACTTCTGGGTGTGCAGGCGCGTGCGCTTGGCCCACCCATCCCCCCGACCACTGGCCACGCCACAAGCCAGTCACACTTCTTTATTTATGAAGATGCGACCAATATGTTGACTATTTGTGAACACCTCCCCAGCCGCAAGGAGTGGGCTCTACGACATAAACGGGTGCGCGGACTTATGTGCTTAGCCATTGACATTGCGGACAGGATTAGCTTTTGCCTTTTGACACCGAGCACAGCAAGTGCAAATTGTTCGAATATGATTTATAGGGCGCATTAAACAAGTAAATCAAATTGAAGAACAACTTTTGGCGAATACTAAGATTCCAATAAATCATTGAATATTCTTATAGAGATTGATGTGCTCAGGTGAAATAGGACAGAAGTTTCTTATATGTTGAAAGTATTAGTCAAATATTAATAAAAATATTTAAGCAATTCATATATTTCAGTCCATGTGAATTGCAATTTGAATGAACTCATTAATGAATCCATTTACCACTCGCACAGCTCGAGAGTTCACACGAACCGATGCTTCGCAGTTCGTTTGTGCCATAATTAACATGTAAAAGCAAAAGGAAAGGAACGAAAGGAAAACCTTTCGGTCCTCTGCTCACTTACCCCCGAAAACGGAGCACTTTATGGCCCAAGTTGCGTGTCTGGCAATGTTTGCCATTAAAAAGCCACCGAACATCAATTTAAATATTGCATTACAATGATTTGCATAAAAGGCAACACGCAGCAGCAGCAACAACAACAACAATCGAATGAGTGTGTGAATGGGTGAGCGAGACCAGGTCGCTGTCTCTCAAAAATCAAACCTAACAAGAAAGATTCGTGTAGTTGAGAATGATGTAGTCTAAGATACCCTGTTTACGAGCCCGAATTACGCCAAATATATAGTCGTGCTCACACACAAATACCCTGAAAACCATTCTATTGATTCTTGTAAGACTTTCTCAATCACAATTTGATTGTTAAGTTATTTTAAATATATGCTGATGACATGGAAAAGTATATACATATGTAATTGAAAAAACTATCTTGATTTTGTCTAAAATGCAATTCAATGCAATTTCCCAGTTTAAGATCAACAAGACATTTAAGCTTTTTATGATATTCTGTTTATAATAGTCCAATTTTGTTGTCTTTAGATTTTCTCTTTTTCTCTTAAGCCATTTTGAATCTGACCGTACCTATTCCTTTCCCATTAGACGAACACTCCTCTTGAGAGTTTTGTTTGTTATATAAAGCTGATATAGCCAATGCCTCCCCTCTGCGCCGTATAGGGTATAACAACCATTAAACCAATATAAATTTGCACTTTCACATGACCTCGCGTCGGCGGTTGATATTCCTCCTCAATTTGGGAGCTCAGTCTGTCAATGAGTGTGTGTGTGTGTGTGTGTGTGGGTATTGTGCTCTTTGGCTAATTTGAATATGCCGAGCTGTGAACGTATGTGTGTTTAGTGCTTCCCACGATATTGATATGACTTTGTCGTGTCGCTAGGGGTCGCGGCAAATCAAAATTCAAATCAACAAACAATAAAGTGGCAGCAGCCATTAGCGTGGCAGCAGCGCACGTCAATTTTGTCTTTATCTAGGGGTAAGTTACACGTGCAACACCTGAGCAGTGCCCAGGATCAGATACCCCTTTTCTATTCCGCTTCCTTTTGCAACTGCAACTCAGATCTGGGCTTAGATCAATAGAGTTGCTAACAAAAGTTGGTCGATTATTTAACCTTTGATTTTTATTGCATTATTATTTGTAAATAAATAAAATCAACAATAACAACAACAATAACGAAAACAAACAGCGATTTGTATGCAAACACTGGTAAAGTCACAAGAACGCGGTCAGCTCGAATTCGAGGGTGCAGACAATAGAGAAATCAATCAATAGAAATCCTCCAACTCGAACTCGTCCTCGCTCTGGTCGTCCGCATCACAGCATTTGGGCGCCGTCGCTGAGAAGCATTCGGCAATTAACTGGCCGCGCTTCGATCCCGAACCACA